TTACCACTTGTCAGGCTAAGAAAAGATAATGAGCATTGTTTCTATATTCTCCTCTGTCACCTAAACATCTATCTCCAACACTTTGACTTTTCAGACTCCATCTCTAAGAATAGGTTATGAATCAACCTTCATGATAAGCCCAAGGATTCCCACAGCTGCCTTGACCACACCCTTGCAAGGCATATATTCCATTTGTCAGTTTCTTCATTGCCTATGAGCTGACAATACTGTACTCATTCTTCTCATATGTCTTTGTTGTTGGCAGGGCCTTCAACAGTGTTTTTTTTTTATCTCCCATAATTCTATTCTTTCTCTTCCCCTCCCTTCTTCCCTAAACCACATTTGGGTTCTCCATGTCCTCACCTTCCATCCCACCAACTTCATTATTCAATGGCTTTCTAACACCTGTCATTTTAATTCTCCACCATACTCCCTCTGACTTTTCTATCCTTGGCCTCCTCAAGTGTTTGAACAAAACTCAACATACCCTTAAGGGACAGTATTTCATTATTCAACACTTTCCAATTTTTGTAATTCAACACTGAGTTCAACAGTTTTAGAACATAAGCATTTTTATTCCTTTGCCCTCACTAGTTTTGGCTTTTCTCTCATTCTTTTCTCTTGTTTTGCTTTCATACAGCATCTAATCATTATTCTGCCATTCGTTTCATCTCTAGACTAATACTTCGTTATTTTATTCGGGACACTATCACTCCCATTGGATATGCATTGTGAACCTTTGCATCATTTCATCTCTCCTGCCTGCCACCCTACCTTAGGACTTCTCTTGTGTTCTATTTTTCTCATCTTCCCACTTTTAAATGCTTAAAATCTTTTACTTTTCTTAGTTGTGAAGGCATGTAATTGATCTGAAAAGTTAACTCTGTTTCTCTTCAAAAATGCTGCCTGATCTGCTGAACATTTGCGAGATTTTCTGATTTTATTATTAAAAATAAGCTAAAACCAATTTTGATTCCAGAGTCTGTGCTCGGGTTGATCATGTTAATGAGGAACAAAATTTCAAATGTACGTAAAAAAAATCAACCCCAATTTATTACTGCAAAGTGTGGTGAACATCATTAAACATCACAATATATATTTGCATTCTCACACATAACATAGTAAGCCAACATAGCAATTCACCCACACTTTCAATGGAGATTAGGGTGTCCATAAATGGCTCTGCAAGATTAAAACCCAGATGGCGAAGATGATAATCTTACCCCAGAGCTAATTCTCTTCACTAATCTTCCTTTATCAGTAAAAGTACAAGAATAACCTCAGTTTTGTTTGATGTTTAACAAAAAGCAATACTTTGTATAGGAGTGCTTGTTGCAATTTTATGTAGCAAAAATTACAAAACTCATAGTATTTGAAAGGCATCCTGCATATACTGTAATGTTTGCTGGAGTATTACAGTGCACTGGATGTGTAGTAAGTAAAGTTCTAGTATCTGGCCTCCTTCAGCCTTTTTTATTTGTAGTTGTTGTTGTTTAAATGAATAAAATTGCCACAGCGTTGAAAGAAAACAAAAGCACCACATGTATGTGTCAAGGTGGTGTACTTCATTGTCTTGTTCTACAGCTTTCTGAGTACTAACCTGCCCTATTTTGTGCTGCTTTTATCATAAAAATTTTCCCATGCAATGCTTTGGCTGACACAGCAGTTCAGTGAGTCAGTTTATTACTGTCTACTGCTAATTACCCAAGAGCAGCTTTGGTGTTACCTTGTCACTGCAGAGGATGCATACCATTGTAATCCTCTCATTATGTCTCCTGCTACAATCACTTAGGCCAGTCGTTGCCCTTTGACAGGCTATTTATGACAGCAGACTTCTCACCAGGGACTTTCATTAGTGGAGACTAGCAAAGTTAATCAACAGCTTTGCATAAAGCTTGAAATGTTATTAATGGAAAACAAATCACTTCCAAAAGACAACAAGGTGCAGGGCTGGATGAACACAGCAGGCCAAGCAGCAT